TATGAGATAAATAAGATAAAATAAATAAAAGAAATATATTGTATAAAAGAAATATATGCTATAGATGACATAGATGATATAGAAGACATATATGATTTCTTAATGATCGACGTCATCCTTTAGATCATCATCATCTATACCTTCTTTCATATAACATTACCACCAGTTATCAAAGTCAAAGATAGATGATTCACAAACCCGATTCACCTTCTTCAGTATAGAGATCTTTTGAAAATACCAGTTTATGATGCCTATTACGTGTCTATTGAAAAAATACATACTTATAACTTTGCTGTCCTATTTGTTAGAAATATTTTTCCACTCTCACATTCTTAACAAATTATAAACAATTAATGCATCCTACTACCTGAGGACGACCTAAAAGACAGAAAAACTCATCTTTTAACGATCTTTCTCTTTTTCCATCTCAACAAAAAAGATTATATGATGAAATGGAACTTAAACTAAGGATTTGTAATTTGGATGAAGAATGAACAAATTTTATAAAAAGCATGTTAATATCTTTATATGTGTATATGCATCGATCTATAAAATAAATGCATGATTTAACAATTTTTGCTGGGAAAATTTAACCTAAACTCCGGGTTTAGGTTATTATCCTAGACCCCATGCATAAATAAATATTTTTGAAGTACTTATCACGTGATAAGTACAGTTGCGGTCTAGGATAATATCCTGAACCCGGGTACATTTTAAGGATGCCCATTTTTGCTAAGCCACTTTTATCGAATTATTATCACGTGATTAAGATTATTATCACGTGATCATGTTATTATGTGTAACCTAAGATCTTCATTATCTCCTAAAATATTGGGTAATTTCTGAACGTGATGACCTAAAAATCGCGATAATCGTGACCACGCCAAAATCGCAATCAGGCTATGTGATTTCATATATGCGGGGTATGTGTATCCATGAAATGAATGAAGGGATCACTTGTAGTAAATAACGATAAGCAAATCACTCATAGTAAATAAATTAATTTTACAAGAAAAACTACTGTACATTCGTGAATCTCATAAGCAATAATAATGAGTGGAAATTATCAATGACTTGATGCAGAATCGTTAATACTGTAGTTCTATTATTTTTATTATCTATAATATTACGTAAGCTTTTTTACAAATATTTGGTGCGAATTTTTCTTGGGGATGTTTTAATTTCTCCGAAACAGCCTCCAACCTTAGAGTCTTCAAATTTTCTCTTTCCATTCCGGTGTGCCTGAGAATGAGCCAGTGCAACACTATTGACATGTTCACGAATGTCTTTAAGGGTAGCCTTGAATTAAATAAACGTGTTAAATTTTGAGAGAATGTATAGTATAATAATGAATACATATAATAATTACCTCTATGTTTAACATAACAGCATAAAAAGCCTCCAAACAACTTATTGTCCCAGAAGTGTGTGGCATTTTTGTTCTGCAAAGCTTCCCGAATCTGCAAATATTTGTTGCTTTGCAGTCCATCCCGTAAACCTCATGAGTCCACCCTAGGAGCAAAGTGAAAAATGTTAAACTCCACCTATCTTATTGCATTTTATAATAATTGCTTGCTTACCCCAAGATTGAGTCCCAAGCAAAAATGTTCGATGTAAAATATCATCTGAAGCATTTTGATTCGATTTAAAAAATGAATACAGAATGTCACGCATGGTTACACTTAAATCTATATGATCCTCGAAAATTTTTCGCCGATGTGCCGTTGGAAGTCCACCGCTTCTAAGACCAACTATGGCTTCTAATTTATCTAAGCTATTTTTAAGTATCCCTCTAAAGTCGCACTTTTGGCCAACTCTAGCGCGTAATATCACTGAGCGACCTTCGTTTCGACGTTGCGCAGACCCCCAACAACAGATTTCTCCTCTAGTATATAGAATAAAAACATATATGAATATAGTTGAATGTGAATATTTGATTCTCTTCTCGCAACCTACACATCTATTTTCACTTCGTCTTGATTCAGAAACCTCTTCATAAGCATATTGGGAAAAGAGTTATCGAAATCTGATTCCGAGACTAACAAATCGGTCCCTTTGAGATTATCGATACTTTTAAAAAATGGTCAAGATGAATTAATGAAAATAACAAAGAAAATTTAACTAAAATCAACCAAAATGGACATCGACTTACTATGTTACAATGGCACGTTTCAGGGCAAAAATATTGGCTTTTTCTTCTGTGCTGAGTGTAATATTATATTTCTTTTCAATGACTTCAGGAAATAGTCTATCGATTTCCATTGTAGGGTCGTGATTGTTCTTAACAATCTGCAAATACATGATTCAATAAAGAAGAGGTGTCATCGGATAAAATTTCAAATTACCTTCAAATACCTGATTTACTTCATCAAAAAAATGAATCACGATATTAGATATATCTGTTTGTGATAGTTTCACTTCTTGTTCAAAGTTGTTAACCATTTCTGTCCAATCTTCTGGTGAAAATAAAGCTTTGGTTTCGGGATGGGCGCCGGTGAGATCTAGAATGCCCCAACAAACGGGGCTACAAGTACTACGTAAACAACAATTATTAATATCGATAAAATACGATATGAACATAACTCACTTTAAACATTTTTGATTTTCTGGGACTGTTTTCTCATATTTCGACAAAACATTCAAAACATCTGTTCCACTGGACAAGAGCCAACGTCTAGTACGACTCTGAAATTCTAATCTATTTACATAGGTAACTTCAACAAAATCATTGTTATGATTATAATTATTTTCTGGATAATTCTCCATAGCAACATAATTAGCATTATTATTTGTAACATTGTCTTCATCTTTCACTTCATCTTCATCTTCATCTTCCTCTTCATCCTTCTCTCCATCCTCCCCTTCATCCTCCTCTTCATCTTCCTCTTCATCCTTCTCTCCATTCTCCTGAAAGTTTGATTGCGATGCCCCTGTAGAAGGGTCTGCCGAACGTAGAGAAGCAATCCTGTCGCAAGTCACTTGAACATTAACCTCCGATTTGTACATTTTCGTTTTGGTACTCAATATCTTTTCATTAACCTGTTCCTGTCCGTCCTCCAAATTTGAATTTATACTAGAGATGTTGTCTTTTCTTAATTGATTGATGAGCTTTCGATTATCTTGCTGATCCTAAAAATTATTGAAGTGATAAGTCCATTGTGAGATTTGTTTTCAAATTTTCTCAAAAATTACCTTCAAAACTTCAATTGTGTAGGCAGACGTGACATTCATGCGTGTTTCCGTGTTATATTCAAGTTCAATAATGAATTGCCTCACTTTGGCACTGGAGAAATATGTGTTAAAATTAGTAAAATCCTCTCCACTTTTTTTTTTGCGTTGATGTGAACATTACATTTTTCTAGATATCTCTGTAATACTGTGTATAAATCTTTTTTGAAATCATTAATTGTATCTAGAGATAATTTGGGTCGTGCAAATTCTAATATTCCGAGGATTGACATTTTTATTTAATGTTTTATCGAGATATTCCGTCACAATTGATTCATACATCTATAAACAAACACAAATAATTAGTCGTCTATTCATTTGAAAACGTATTGACAGAATTGATTGACCTTATAAAACAATTTCCGTCGCGAGTTAGTAGGTTTTTTACGATTAGAGAAATTGGTAGTTCAGTATATAGACGCGTTCTAAGCCACCTAAAAAATTACGTCACCTGATTATTATTTTTTAATACACGCATCAGATGCATTCACGAACCTCACAGTCGCGCGTATCCCTACTGTCGTTAGGCCATCCCGTCCTGCGTTCAGATGTTTGGAGGCAGTCTGCCGAGCTGTCCTTAATCATACGTATTAAGGCCCTAGTCCCTGCATGCTGTTTTTTCCAGGATGCGTTCACTATACCTACTGTCGTTAGGCCATCCCGTCCTACGTTCAGATGTTTGGAGGCAGTCTGCCGAGCTGTCCTTAATCATACGTATTAAGGCCCTAGTCTTTGCATGCTGTTTTCCAGTGTACAGTCGACTGTGAACATCTTTCATTTATTGAAATAATCATTTTATACCATTTACTATGTATTATATAATTCTTTATTACAAACAAGACGTATCTTGATTCCATGTTTCTTCAGTAAGATGCGGACCTTCGATTGATAGACATCTATTTAAGCCTCTACTGCTATGTTTTTATCTGGAAACTTAAGACTGAATTTGCGTCTAACACCTTGAGTCCCAGCATCATATTATTCCTTTGCTCTCTCTCATTTTCTACAGCTAATTTGTTTCTATCACTATTGCTAACTACAAGATTTTCTCTACACTCTTTTGCTACATTAAATTTCCGATATAAATTGTCCCACTCATATCTACAGAATTTTCGTCTATCTATATCACTCCATACAGACTTTATAATAGGTTATTTCCCCACAAGAGAACTTCTCCGAGAATAATTTCGAATCTATAGGAAGAATTCTTGAGATTAGCAATGGGATAAAAAAAATAAAAAAGGGTGAGAGCTTCCGATTCACACTTACTGATATAATTCATTTTATCATAATAATATCTCACACCGCCTCATATTTTGATTTTTTATCCAGCAATTTTACTGCGCTGATACGTGGAGTCGACTAGATTAAATAATATTTTCGTGATACTGCATCAGACTTTAATTATTTCACTGCGCCTATTATACGCGTGATGATGGTCAGTTGATTTTCTCGGCAAAGATCAAAATGCCGGTATATAACAAGAAGGGTAATATGCCCATTTTGTTTTGGAACATCTATAGAGTCGGGAAAATCGATTAACATCGTGATGACATGTTTCAAGAAGTTAGCTAAGCAATAAACCACTTATTTTATTATTACATTATTACTTTGCAAAAAATACGAGTTCGTTTAATTGTTAATATCAATGATTTTAATAATGGTAAGCTTGATTGGTTAGATTTTTTTCTTTAATTGTGCAAAGCGGACAAAAAGATTCACTACCAGGGACATCACCTTTTTATACAATTTGCAGGATCGATCTTGGAATACACTTTTGGGAAAAATTACGTTAATATGATTGCATAATGAATATCTGATCAACGGCCTCTTCTTATTAACAATAAAGAATTTAACGCTATTCATGTGTAAAGATCATCAAGGGGCCTTTTTAATTATATACATTATAGTTTTGAGAATATGTTCTCGTGATGCACGTGACGCATATACAAATAATGTTGCTGCGCATTTATTTATCAAGCTACAAAAAAAAATAATTTACACAATTGCACAACCTACACCATGTGAAAATTATAAAATGCCTGATAAATTTGTGCCTTTGCTTTATTGATCGTATAAAAATACAGGTCATAGCATATTATTCAATTTCTTACCTAACTTTAGTCACAAGATCTAATGCTACGAAAGATTTACACCACAAAATTTTCCATCCGCACGTGATCTATAATTTTAGCCAAATTTAGTTGGCCAAATTACCAAGTTGAAATAGAAATTATATTCGTCCGAAATACTAAAACTTTGTAAAAAATTTAAATATTCGAATATGCAAATTTGAAAGATATATCAGGAAAAGGTCTTCCGCTTACTCCCGCTTAATTTCTTATTTCACTACCACTCATGGTGTAGATGCTATCTGAAGTATACATAATAATAAAATGCCACTCTGTTCTTGTTGACATGATACCATAGAAATAGTGCTCCTAAATGCTTGATATACTGTTCATTTCTTTTTATTTATTTAGTATGCACTTTCAAGTTATGCCAGGTTAGCAAAAATGCGCAGGAACAAAAATTATAGAAATTGCGCAGATCTTAACTTCTGTACAGTCAATCCCCTCTAAATGCATCCATCCCCTTGGGACCATAGTTAAAATTTTAAAAAATGTGCATTTAAAGAGGGTGTGCATTTAAAGAGAAAATTTTTATATGAATTCTATATGCTTGGGACTGAACGAGAGTGTGCATTTAGAGAGAAAATATATAGTATGTGCATTTAGAGAGGGTTGACTGTATAAAATAAACCAGTCAGAATTTTTAGATTTTGAATTATACAAAAATTTACAGATTTAAATACTGTGAAAATTTTATAAAATAAATCTGCATTTCAAGTCTTTTTCCATTTGACTAGCTTTATCAAAGATGTATTATTATTTACACGTTTTAATTATTATTCTTCAAAGTGAAAAACAAAGCATTTTAAACACTCGCAGTAAGATCATTTTGATTGCTTTGATATTATTTTTAATTTAAAATTAAAAAAGAAATCAGAACTTTTTTGAATAATAATTAAAGATTCTAAGATTAATTTTATATATTTAGTAATAACTTTACTTCAAATAGTATTATTTAATTGTTAACTTTAATAATATTAATATAATTCTTCATATATATTTTAAAATATTTTCTAGAGTATCTTGATATTCAGTTATAGATGAAAAAAGTATAACTAATATAAGATCCTTAGCAATTTCTTATAAGCTTATTGTAAAAACAATCAGCCTATTTTTAAATGTATCTTAAAATTAAATGATAGTTGCTAAATATATTAAAATAACTTACATTTTAGAAATCATTAGTAAGTTCATTAGCTACAATAAGTTTTTGCAATATTTGAGTATTTTTTGTTATTAGTAACTAATGAACCTATAAAATTTATAAATTGTAGTAATTTTTCATTAATTAAAAATATAGTGTAAGCAAATTTTTCAATTATTAGATATTGTTTAGATTTAGTATTAGATAATGAGTAATGTTATTATTATTATTATAATTAATATTTAATAATAGTAAAAGAGGTATTTAAAAGAAATTTTTGAAAAGGTTCTTAAGAAATTTCTTTAAAAAGATTTTAAGACAGAAAAAACATTTATAAATATTGATTTTTTACAAATAGAAGTTTCTAATTCTAACAAATTAGTAGATTTTGTAATTTTGATCATAGATATTATTTTTTTGAATAAAGTATATTATAATATCAATTTATATAAATAATAAAAATCTTCTTTGTTTACATATTATTTGATAATATTTAAAAAAACTTATCTTTAATATTTTAAAAAACCTTCTTATTCTGTTTTAAAAAATATAATTCTTTTTCAGAAAAATCATATAATGACCTTATTTTGTGTATTTACGTATTTCTTTGATATGACAACATTTAGAAAAGAATAAAATTTCAAAATTTTATAAAAATAATTAAATTTTTAAAATTTGTTAAGATTATAACTTAACTGAAAAAAATGAAATTTAAGATTTAAATAGTTAAAAAACTATAAAATTTATGTAACTGATAATTAATTAATAAAATTCTTTGTATAAATGATGATAATTTAAATTATAAAATTATCAGATATTATTAGAATCATCATTATTTCTATAACATCTTTTTGATTTGTTTAATTATTTCTAATTATAATATAATTAATTAATTACTAAAGAACAGGAACCATTATGAGTCTGAAGTAAAGATTTATGATTTACAAAGGAAATTATAACAATAGTTAATAATCAAATGTATTATTACAATTTTCTTTTTTAAGTTTCGGCTAAAAGCTTTAATTAATAAATTAGTGTTTAAATGTATTACAAAATATTATTTCATTAATAAAATAAATAAAGTTAAAATAAATAAAGTTATTTTGTTGATCTTTTATAAATGTGCAATATATGTAAATCATTTTCTTATATGAATAAGAAGGTAAAGATACGAGATGATAAGAAATCAGATTTTATTAAGAACGTGAAAAATTGAAATAAACTAAAGATAAATAATCAATCTGTTAGTAAAAAAGCATTATGAAAACACAATAGAAAAGCAATGGAAATAAAAGATAAAAAAGAAGTATGTCTTAGTAAGAACTAAAAAGAAAGAAGATAAAAATAGACAAAGAGACTGAAGAAGAACATGTAAAAAGGTTAGAATACTAATGCAAGAAAGTATGTAATAAAGAAAATAAAAAGGAAAATCACAATAAAAGTGAGAGGCTGCTAAGGCTAAGAATCAGTAAGTCAGAGTAAAAGAATCATGAACTGCAACAAAAAAGCTATTAATTCATCAGTTAAATAGGAACGTATTTCAGCATCTGTTAAATAATAGTGATGAGCCTTAGCAGATTTCAAACAAAAGCAAAAAGATCTTACAGAATTTACACAGTAATATGCAGTAAACGCTTGAATAGCTTCCCGTAGCTGAACTTAACAAGTTAATCAAAAACTTTGAAGAAATTTCATGACAAGATGGATAAACTTCAACATATTCTTTATCCTGTATAACGAAAGTTATCTATCTATAGTACTTGTAAATAAGAAAAAATGTAGACAGTGTCATAGCAAAAAATTCAATAGATTTTTTGTGAATAATAATATGGATCTGGAAGAAGTTTGAGAAGAACTTTAAGGCTTCATAGAAATTGAAGAGATGCTGATAGCAAAAGCCTTTACTGTAATATTTGTATACAGATTACGTGATAAGCAATATGGATATAGAGGAAATATTATAAATTTTCCTCAAGATATATAAGAATTCGTAATACAACTTTCACGATATCCATTATCATTAAAAGTTCTAATTATATGATATCACTCTACTAGTGATTTAGCAGCATTCTAAGATTTTACTATTCATTACACAAAAGTTGCTCATGCATTATAATGGTTGAAAGCCCACAATCAGTACTATAATAATATCATTATTGACGAAGAAGCACTTCAATCCTTACTAGAAAACTGTTTTATTGCTGACCAACTACCACAAATTAAAAATGATTAAATAAACGGAAATTTAAATAAAAATGATAATGAGAATAATAATATAATCACACATTTCTTCATTCTATCTCTTCCTCCATCCTATTACGAAGACCTTTCTATTAGAAATGCATTTAATCATATACAAACTGAAAATCTATCTATAACATGATCGCAGATTGACAGTAGTCCTATAAATAAGTTCTAAACTTCAGATTACATTACAATGACATTTTTCATGTTATATTTAACTAAAGAAGTAGATCTTTATGCAAAATTCATTAAAGACAT